AGCCACCGACGACGACGACATTGAGGAAAACGAGCGACGACGGAAAAACGACACAATGACGACGAACGACGGCATCGACGCGAATGAAAACGACGAAAACGCGGCAGCTGGCACTACGATGCCTCGCGCCGCGCGCAGCGAGCCTCAGGACTGCCGCCTTCCAGAGGCGGTACGCATCTTCTTCAAGTTGACGACAACAGGAGCGGCGCTGATGGTCCGAGCCCTGAGCGTCAGTTTCGCGAGAAGGGAACGCCACGATGATCTGCAGCGCCATCTGCAGAGAAGCATTCTCGACGGACAACATGGTGCACTTCTCGAGGAGCTTCAGCAGGAGCCCAGACTTCTTCAGAACACTGGTCAGGGCGGTCAGCTTGAGCGCTGCCAGGGTCGTCGCGAACATCCGGAGGCCTTGAAAGCCAAGGCGCGCTCGCTGCGATTCTTGGCGAGCTTCGTCATATTTCGGAGCGCAGCGTCCATGCGAGTGGGCTTGCAGCCCCGATGGGCGAGGCAGCCCAAGGCCTTCACCAGGACCTGCACTGCGCGCGTCTGCGCCCTGCGGCGTCCGGCGGCGGCCGCCAGCAGCAAGCCATGGGGCTATGACCAGGAAGACGAGAACTGCGAGGTAGCGGTCTGGGGGGCCGCCGGGCGCTGGCTCGCAGGTTGGGCGGGCTTGGACCGAGCTGGTGCGAGGGAGAAGGACGAGGAGGAGAAGGAGGAGCGGGAGGTGGATGAGGAGGAGGAGGTGGAGGAGGAGGAGGAGGTCGACGACGACGACGACGACGAGGAAAACGAGGAGGCCGCTCGGCTGGGCCTCTCCCCGCCTCCCCCGCCGCCAGCGCGTGCTGCCCGTCCTCCTTCACGGCGATGCGTCGTTCGCTGGGCAGGGTGTGGTTTACGAGACCATGCAGTTGGCCCACGTCGCGGAGCGCTGCCACCGTCGCGGCCCGACGGGCGAGGGCGCTGCTCGCTTCGGTGGCGACGACGACGACGACGATGGCGGCGGCGGCGACGACGACGGCGACCACGACGACGACGACGAGGCCGACGACAACTCCGACGACGACGACCTTGCGACGACGACGACGACGAAGAGGCCAACTACGACGACGACGAGTTCAGCAAGTTTCCCGAAGCAGTGCTTGCACGTAGGGGCTTGTACTTTGTTCTGAGGAACTGGGCCGTGTCTTCAGTCTGACGGCTATGTGGCCGCCGTTGCCGCACCGTCGCCGCCTCGTCGCCGCCCGTCGTTTGGGCCGTGTCGTCGGTCTGGTGGCTGTGTGGCCGCCGTCGCTACCCCGTCGCCGATTCGTCGCCGCCCGTCGCCGCCGCTGGATTGCACCACATACATGCACGACAAAAACAGTAATGCCTGCGGCGCTCTTCTTGACCGCTCACAACATAGGCCGCTCCACGTACATCGCACAGCATATATTGCAGCACAGTGTTGCACGTCACATATAGCACAGCATGTATAGATTCTCCTTTCTAAAAACAAATAGGACCTACCCCCCCCGGCGTTATCGGTGCCCTATGATTCTGACCACATGTCCATTCTAAGAATGAATTTGCACTATCCCAGGCCGGCTGGTATCCCTCCACTGAGGTTCCCCTGTAAAAAACACTATGCGGTGACATTTTTCGTTCTAACATAACACTTTTTCGCGAATCCCCTGCAAAAAAATGGGACGAAGTGCAGACGCGCGCGTCGTCGCGCGCGCATGCCGAAATCCTTCAAAAACCTTCGGTGCCGGAAGGATTTCGCAATCGAGTTTCCCAAACACATACAAAAACACAGGGTTTCGCAACACTGATTTGCTAAAAAAACTTCCGAACGAGCTCTTGCGAAATCTTTTTTAAAAAAACAACAGTTTTTCAAGATTCTGACAAACTGCTATTAAACGAGCTTCGCGCGCCCATGTCGAAATCTGTCGAACGCCCTTGCGCGTCTGCCGTCGCGAGAATCCTTTGCAAAAAATGGGACGAAGTGCAGACGCGCGCGTCGTCGCGCGCGTATGTGTGTCCAAAAAACTTACAAAAACACAAGGTTTCGCAACACGCATTTTCAACAAAAGCGTGCGCGCGCGCGCTCTTGCGTCGTCGTCGTCGTCGTCGTCGTCGTCGTCGTCGTCGTCGTCGTCGCCGTCCTCCCTCCCGCGTCAACGTCGTCGTCGTCGTCGCCTACGTCGTCCTTTGTCTTTCCTCGTGTTCGTCGTCGTCGTCCTCTTTGGCGTCGTGGTCGTTTCCGTCGTCGTTGTCGCTGTGGTCGTCCTTCCCCCTCCTCCCTCGTCGTCGTCGTCGTCCGTCGTTGGCGTCTCGTCGTCGTCCCTCCTATTTCGTCGCCGTCGTCGTCGTCGTCGTCGTCGTTGTCGTCGTCGTCGTCTTCCCTCTTCCCTCGTCGTTGTCGTCGGCGGCGTCGCCGTCCTTCCTCCTTCGTCGTTCGCGTCGTCGCCGTCTTCCCTCCTCCCTCGTCGTTGTTGTCGTTGTCGTCGTTGTCGCCGTCGTCGTCCTTCCTCCTCCCTCGTCGTCGTCTTCGTTGGCGTCGTCGTCGTCGTCTTCGTCGTCGTCGGCGTCGGCGTCGGTGTCGTCGTCGAAATCGTCGGAGACGTCGTCGGTGTCGTCGTCGTCGTCGTCGTCGTTGTCGTCGGTGTCGCCGTAGTCGGTCTTAAGAGGTTTTGCAAACCAAGTTGCGGGTGGGTGGGTGGGATGTTTGCGCGAGCAGTGGAGATGATGACTTCAAGTTCAGCAGAGTGGATTCTCCTTTCTAAAAGACTAATAGATTCTCCCCCCCCTGGACTTATCGGCCCCCCCGCGCGTGCTGTAAATTACATATGATTCTGACCACATGTCCATCCTAAATATGAATTCATACCATCCCAGCCAAGCCGGTATCCCCCCCCCTGCGGTTCCCTGTCAAATAACACTATGCGGTGACATGTTTTGTTCTAACATATCACTTTTTCGCGAATCCCTTGCAAAAAATGGGACGAAGTGCACACGCGCGCGTCGTGGCGCGCGCATGCCGAAATCCTTAAAAAACCTTCGGTTCCGGAGAGATTTCAAAATTGAATTTCCCAAAAACAAATAAAAACACATGGTTTCGCAACACTGATTCAAAACAAAAAAACTTACGCGCGAGCTCTTGCGAAATCTTAAGAAAACCATAGGCTTTCCAAGATTTTCACAAAATGCTACCAAACGGGCTTCGCGCGCGCGCATGTCGAAATCTGTCGAACGCTCTTGCGCGTGTGCCGTCGCGAGAATCCTCTGCAAAAAATGGGACGAAGTGCAGACGCGCGCGTCGTCGCGGGCGTATGCCGAAATCCTTCAAAAACCTTCGGTTTCGGAAGAATGTCGAAATCGTGCGTCCAAAAAACATACAAAAACACAAGGTTTCGCAACACGGGTTTTCAACAAAATTGTGCGCGCGCGCTCTTGCGTCGTCGTCGTCGTCGTCCTCCCTCCTTCCTCGTCGTCGTCGTCGTCGTCGCCGTCGTCGTCTTCTGTCTTTCCTCGTCGTCTTTGGCGTCGTCGTCGTTTCCGTCGTCGTTGTCGCCGTGGTCGTCCTTCCTCCCTCGTTGTCTTCGTCGGCGTCTCGTCGTTGTCCCTCCTATTTCGTCGCCGTCGTCGTCGTCGTCGTCGTCGTCGTGGTCTTCACTCCTCCCTCGTCGTTATCCTCCTCCCTCGTCGTCGTCGTCCGTCGTCGGCGTCTCGTCGTCGTCCCTCCTATTTCGTCGCCGTCGTCGTCGTCTTCGTCGTCGTTGTCATCGTCGTCGTCTTTCCTCCTTCCTCGTCGTTGTCGTCGTCGGCGTTTCCGTCCTTCCTCCTTCTTCGTCGTTGGCGTCGTCGCCGTCTTCCCTCCTCCATCGTCGTTGTCGTCGTTGTCGCCGTCGTCGTTTTTCTCCTCCCTCGTCGTCGTCTCCGTTGGCGACGTCGTCGTCGTCTTCGTCGTCGTCGTCGGCGTCGTTGTCGTCGTCGTCGGTGTCGTCGTCGTCGTTGTCGTCGTCGAAAACATTGGAGACGTCGTCGGTGTCGTCGCAGTCGCTGTCGGCGGCGCCGTCGTCGTCGATGTCGCTGTCGTCGTCGGCATCGGTGTCGTGGCCAAGTGCCACGCAGTACCTACCGTCACGGTCTTGTCTGAAGATGTCTTGCGTCCAAGTTGCGGGTGGGAGGGTGGGATGTTTGCACGAGCAGTGGAGAGGACAGCTTCAAGACAGTCGAAGTGGGTTGCACCACATAGAATTCACCACCAATATGGCACAACCTATACTGCACCACATCGATTGTTCCACAGCGACTACACCACATTGCACACCATAGGCTGCTTCAAATCGATTGTACCACCTATCTGGCACAGCATATATTCTCCTTTCTAAAAAGAGAATAGACTCTACCCCCCCCCGGACTTAACGCTTCCCCCTGGGATAGTATAATTTCATATATATATATATATTCTGCACACTCGTCCATCCTAAATATGAAATCAGACCATCCCAGGCAGGCCGGTTTCCCCCCCCCTTAGGGTCCCTTGTAAAAACACTATGCGGTGACATTTTGGTTCTAACATAGCACTTTTTCACGAATCCCTTGCAAAAAATGAGACGAAGTGCACACGCGCGCGTCGTCGCGCGCGCATGCCGAAATCCTTCAAATACCTTCGGTGCCGGAAGGATTTCGCAATCGAGTTTCCAAAACACATACAAGAACACATGGTTTCGCAACACTGATTTGCTAAAAACGCTTCCGCGCGAGCTCTTCGGAAATCTTAAGAAAACCATAGGTTTTCCAAGATTTTCACAAAATGCTACCCAACGGGCTTCGCGCGCATGTCGAAATCTGTCGAACGCCCTTGCTCGTGTGCCGTCGCGAGAATCCTTTGCAAAAAATGGGACGAAGTGCAGACGCGCGCGTGGTCGCGCGCGTACGCCGAAATCCCTCACCCCATCGGTTTCGCAAGGATTTCGAAATCGCGCGTCCAAAAAACCTACAAAAGCCCAAGGTTTCGCAACACGGATTTTCAACAAAAGCGTGCGCGCGCGCTCTTGCGTCGTCGTCGTCGTGGTCGCCGTCCTCCTTCCTCCCGCGTCGTCGTCGTCGTCGCCTACGTCGTCCTCTGTCTTTCCTCGTGTTCGTCGTCGTCGTCCTCTGTGGCGTCGTGGTCGTTTCCGTCGTCGTTGTCGCCGTGGTCGTCCTTCCTCCTCCTCCCTCGTCGTCGTCGTCGTCCGTCGTCGGCGTCTCGTCGTCGTCCCTCCTATTTCGTCGCCGTCGTCGTCGTCGTCGTTGTCGGCCCTCTTCGTCGTTGCCGTCGCGGCGTCGCCGCCTCATCCTTACTTCGTCGTTCGCGTCGTCGCCGTTTCCTCCCTCATCCCTCGTCGTTGTTGTCGTTGTCGCCGTTGTCGCGTCGTCGTCCTCCCTCGCCTCGTCGTCGTCTTCGTTGGCGGACGTCGTCGTCGTCTCGTCGTCGTTCGGCGTCGGCGTCGTCGTCTCTTCGTCGTCGTTGTCGGCGTCGTCGTCTGTCGCCGCCGCGTCGTCGTCTCGTCGTCGTTCATCGTCGTCGTCGTCGTCGTCGGCGGTCGTGACGTCGTCGTCGTCGTCGTCGTCGGCGTCGTCGTTGTCGTCGTCGTCGGACGTCGTCATCGTCGTCGTTCGTTTGTCATCGTCGTCGTCGTCGGAGTCGGCCGTCGTCGTCGCTCGTCGGTGTCGTCGTCGTCGTCGTCGTCGTCGTCGTCGTCGTTGTCGGCGTCGTCGAAGTCGTTGGAGACGTCATCGGTGTCGTCGTAGTCGTTGTCGGCGGCGTCGTCGTCGTCGTTGTCGCTGTCGTCGTCGGCGTCGCTGTCGTTGGCAAGTGCCATTTGGTACCCACCGTCACGGTATTAAGAGATTTTGCGAACCAAGTTGCGGGTGGGTGGGTGGGATGTTTGCGCGA